CTTCACGTCAGACAATTCCCCAATTATCAGCAAATCATGTGTTGCCTGCAAAACCATCCCACATCCCATCCTCCTCCCCCACTCCCCAGGAGATTCCCTGAATTCCTATGACAGATCACTGATAACCATTAGCTGCACCAGCATTAAGGAGATCCAAGCGCTATATCTGACAAACAGGAATGGGCTGTCACAGAAGGAACCGAAGATCAAAGGGAATTAACTGACTCTGCTTATGGGAGCTATCTTTGCTTGGTGGGGTACACATTAAAACAATTTAACAAAAACCACAACACTGAATTCCACCTGTGAAAGGTTTTCAACAGTGTGTGGTGCATCAAATCCTCCTAATGTAGGGATATTAAAGAAGGTACTAACAGTGATTCCTCCAAGTGACAGTGACCCCCTCATAATTTGTCCCCCACACTTTAAAATCCAATAGTTTCACCAAGTACAAAAATCTCTTGGGTCTTCTGTTAAAACTTGTAAGCTACTGTCTGTAGAAACCATTGATTATATCTATCCTGTGAAAGATACTTTATTACTATATAAAACTTACAAACAAGTTAATTGACTTTGTTCTTGAAGTAATTGATACAATGTAAACAAACACTATAAGCCTTAAGTGACTTTCACTTTCACTCCTAGGACAGACCCCCCCACCCTCTGTGATTAAAGGGCTGGGAGTCTCAAATTAATTAGCACACACCCTGAAAGTGGTGGAGACAGTAAATTAAAATATGGTTAAAATATGAAATGTATGCTGATGAATGCTTGATGTACATGAATGGTTAGGAAGGTGCCAGCCTAGAAAGGGAGTATCCATCGGCCGAAGAATGTGTCAAGTGGATGACCAGACAACCCCCGGAGGGTAAACTGGGATCCACCCCATCACCTGGAAGGATGAGAAACACAAACTTTGGACAGTTTGGAGCCACGCGGAATGTGTCCAGGAATGTGCCATCTGCTGATTGAGTCAGCAACAGCAGGATGAAACAGCTCCCATAGACTAACATAGGAATTAAATCCTATAAGAATGGACTCTCAAGACTGATGACTTTGAGTCTCTGGTTCTGCTGCCAACCTCCAGGAGCACCTGACACAGACTCGGCTCCATCCTCATGACCAAGATACCTGGCCTGTAACTTGGCATGAGCAACTTCTAGGCTGGTAACTATAACACCTATACAGAACTTGAATGAATGATTGTGTGAATGAATGTGTGTGTGTGTGTGTGTGTGTGTGTGTGTGTGTGTGTGTGTGTGTGTGTGTGTGTGTGTGTGTGTGTGTAGTAGTAGTAGTAGTAGTAA